TATATATATATATATATATATATTATATATATATATATATATATATATATATATATATATATATATATATATATATATATATATATATATATATATATATATATATATATAATATATATATATATATATATATATATATATAGTATATATATATATATATATATATATATATATATATATATATATATATATATATATATATTATATATATATATATTATATATATATATATATATATATATATATATATATATATATATATATATATATATATATATATATACTATATATATATATAATATATATATATATATATATATATATATATATATATATATATATATATATATATATATATATATATATTATATTTTATATATACTATATATACTATATATACTATATTTTATTAAATAATTAGAATAAAAAACACAAAAATAATACATCTTTTATTTTTATTAATATTTCATACTAAAAATACCTTTTTTCAATATACTTTTATTTTTTGTACAAATTAATGCATTATTGTATATAAATAATAAATAATACTATTTATTTAAGAAATTAGGGTTTTTGCCCTAAAAACAAAAAATAATTAAAATTGACTTTTTATTTATTTACATTTCACTTTAAAATACTTTTTACATACATAAAAACTTTTTTTGCATAATACATTTTATTTAATATTTATTTATTGTATTTATTTAAATTTTGTACATTTAATTGTTATGCCTTACACATTCAATTTGGTTGTAATAATTTAAAATTTAATTTCTTGCAAAATAAACCCCAATTTAAATTTTTACCCTCCTTCCTATATCATGTTGTAATAGTGTAGAATTTAAATTCTCGCACCTTTAAATGCTTTCAATTATGCCATGATTAGACTTAGGGTTTGTATGCAAAATCAAATCAACAACTAGTTTGACCTAATCAAAGACAAAATGCATGAAAAACAAACCAATGCACACTTGCACCCTAGGGTTACAATCCACTTGTTGCCTTCAAAAATGGGCATGGTATGCATGTCAAATACTTTGGCAAAACAAAAACAAAACAAAGATCATAGTCCCTCGATGACGCTATCTGAGTTGCCTAAACAAAATGATCAAGTCCCTCAAGAAAATTGCCAAAAATACTTGACACTATTGCTATCATGGTCTACACGATGACGCGTGCCTGTCCCGTTTAACATCCTAATACAAGGTTGTTCACCAAACACAATGGTGAAACAACACTGTTAAAAGGGTTTAAAAACATAAGAAAGATCTTTGAGTAAAATAGGATAGACAACTCTTAGTTACTTGATCAAAACTTGCAAAAACATCCTTGCTATCTTCAAAACACACTTCACAACACAAATTTCAAAACCCTACTTTCAAACATTGGAAACTTTTCAAAAGACAAAAACACCTTTGTATACATTCAAACAAGAATCATTACAAAGGTTGCCACAACGATGGCCTCTTTTCAAAACATCTTTCAAAATCACATACAAAGCACCATTTCAAACAATTGAGAAGCAAAGCAAGCGATCTAAGCAAGTAACTAAGAGCCCATGGATAACCATGGATAGAAAGGGTGCTAATACCTTCCCTTTCTATAATCTACTCCCCGAACCCAGAAAACATCTCAAAGGTCTTTCCTGTGCTTTTTTCCATTTCCTTAGGATAAAATAAAAAGTCGGTGGCGACTCTTGCTAAACCGAAACATTTGTGAACACAAGCGCAAAATCCCAAGTCAGCTATCCCACCGTATCACAGTAGCAATAGACTGTGAGGGAACTCTACGGCATAGACCGATACGGTTGAAGCAATAACTATGTTGGTGTGACACTTTGGTTGGTACCGATATCCCTTATGGTGAAACGAGGAGAATATGGGGCTGCTGCATGGTGTCGTGAAGCATAAACTAACCTTAGAACCTTTGATTGCCCAACTTGGACATTAGAAAGTAGCGAGATAGCCGGCCTCATTGTAGATATGAGAACTGGTTGATACTCGATGCTACACTCATTGAGATCATACTTTCGGAATATTTCGACTGCAAGAAAAGATTGCGTGAGCTGAAACCATGACCGATGAAGGATGGTAAGTGATATTGAGATCCTCTAGAACCCGGTTACTTTTCTAGGACAGGTTTGAAACCAACTTAACTTCAAGAGGGTATTACCTTTGACCTCATGCAAGCCTTAAACCTAAGGGCTTTGTGTGATTTGACTGTGTTTGCAATACCTGTGTTTGCTATACCTGGTTTATCATGACATCATGCATCATAACACGGCATTCATGCTTCATTACACTATCCATTTCAAAGACCAAGGGAATTTATCTTTGTTCTTTTTTGCATATCATGGCTTCCGTGCGTAGAAATACTATCCGAATTAGATTTGTGGAGATACCTTCCCAACTCAAAGAGCTAGTATCAAGAGTTTCTGAAACTTCTACTTTCATTAAGAGACACAGTCAACTTCTCAGCCTGGTTACTTCAAACCTTGATGAACAAATGATGAGCGTACTTTTTCAGTTCTTCGATCCCAAGCATCACTGCTTCACCTTTCCAGATTATCAGTTTGTACCCACCTTGGAAGAATTCTCTCAGCTATTGGGCATACCCATTCTCGAACAGGTACCCTTCACAGGTATATAAGAAGTTCCTAAGCCAGAAGTCATTGCCTCAGCTTTGAATTTGAAACGGGCCGACGTGGTATCCAATTGCGAAACTCGAAGCAGAGTCGAGGGTTTTCTAATCAAATTTCTGATAGACAAAGCTCAACTATTTTGGGATGATTTGGATTTTCAGGCTTTTGAGGAGGTCTTGGCTCTTCTTATCTATGGTTTAGTTCTCTTCCCTATCAGAGGGGGTATAACTTACAATCCTTGTCTAGCTTTGCGACAATTTGGTCATGCTCGAAGGGGTGGTCCCCATGAGTTACTTATTGAGGGCATTGTATTCAACTATGAGGATGATGTTAAGGAGTATCGCCGGAGGTTCATACGAGCTTGGGGCATGGTAAACAGATTCGACCCCAAAGATTTGGGATAAAGACTTCCATTCCTATGGAGCCTTACCTCCAATGGATACGAGCTCGGGCCCAAAAGCTTATGATGCCTTATGTGGCCGTATTACCGGTGATTGTGGAGCCCACTACTGAAGGAGGCATCCCTTACATGGTTCTTTATCCTTACATGCCCACTGATCTTGGGGAGTTACAGAGGTCTTGGATTCAGCTGAAGAATGAGCGGGATACTTACAGGGAACAGTTCCATGATCAAGAGAGGAAGATTTTAAAGCTCACTAGGAAGCAACAGGGAGAAAGAGTGCTCAATGATTATATTAGCACAAAGAGAAAGCGTCCATGGGACTTTTGATTTTTCTTTTCTAGTTTTAGATTTGTTTTATTTACTTATTTTGTAATTCCTTAAAGGCATGTTGAACCTTCAAATTTAAGCTAATAAAGTTTTTGTTCATTTTGGTTTGCAAATTTAAATTTCCCGAAGTCTTTGAAATCATTACATGCGCATCCCATTATCATACGCATCATTACAGGTACCACTACAGGTTTCTCATCTTCTTTGCTGTTTATTTCAGCACGAAATGTATTCCGGTCAAGCCATCAAAGATCTTCAGACACAGAACGCCCAGTTCCAACAGATGTTCATAAGTCTGGCTAAGGGGCAGGAGGATTTGAAAGCCCTCATTCTGAAAGAGAAGAAGAAGAAGAAGAAGAAGGCTGTCGGTATTCTAAATATGGGCAGAAGGTTTGGAGAAAGGTTGAAACAACAAACTGATCTGACCTCTTCATCCAAGGAAGGGGAGAACCAAGAAAGAGAGAAGGACCCTAGTCTTGCAGTTTCTGACAATGATACGGATTACAATGATGAGCAATATCCTCCTGCTGAGGATAGATACAAGCAGTTGGAAGATCGTGTGAGTGCCATGAAAGTTCAGAGGATACCTGGTCTGGATTTCGAAGAATTGCGTCTGGTATCGGGAGTGGTCATCCCTCATAAGTTCAAAGCTCCAGTTTTTTCCAAGTATGATGGAGTGTCCTGCCCAAAACTCCATCTCCGCTCTTATGTCAGAAAAATCCAACCCCACACCGCTGATAGAAATTTGTGGGTGCACTTCTTTCAAGATAGTCTGTCAGGGACTCAGCTTGAATGGTTCTACCAATTGGAGGGAGCCAGTGTCCGAAACTGGGAAGATCTTGCTGTTGCTTTCTACAAGCAGTATCAGTATAATTCCGACCTTGCTACCACTCGTACTCTACTCCAGAGTATGTCCATGGGTGTAGGTGAAGGTTTTAAAGAGTATGCTAAAAAATGGAGAGACTTGGCTGGGAGAGTTCAACCCCCTTTGTCTGATAAGGAGTTGGTTGATATGTTTCTAGGGACGCTATCAGGTCCGTTTTTCAATCACTTAATCGACAACTTGTCATCTAGTTTCACTGAGCTGATTTTAACTGGAGAAATAGTAGAAGCTGGAATTCGGAGTGGTAAAATACAGAAGGATGCCTCCTCGAGTTCAACAAAGAAGGCTTTCGCTGGTAAGAAGGAAGCCAGTGCGATCTATAGCCCGAGGGGCCAAAGTAGATCTGAACACCGTCAAACGGTAAATTCTGTAGTGATACCAAGACCCACAGTTGCTCCACAATGCAACAATCAACCAAGGGTGGAAAGACCACAACG